ATACAAAAAACTCAACCATTTATTGTCTACCAAAAAGTGTCAAAGTCTCATTACCCCACCAATGGGAAAATTTGTCAACCATTCATGTCCCTCCATTCCAAAAACAAACAAAGTGTATAAATGATAAAGAAAAAAAAAAAGAAAAGAAAGAAAGAAGATAAAAATTACAAATGGGACCACCATTACTTTAAAAAAATAAGTAACAAAGCATATGAGACAACACAAAATTCATACCCACAAACAAACAAACAAACAAACTCCAAAACATATGAGACAACCATATACCTAGTATTCTAGAAAGATTTGGGGATTGAGAGAAAAAAATGCTACCTCCAACCACATACTAAAAATCTAAAAAAATACCATACAAAAATAATTTAAAAACAAAAACAATCAATATATATAAAAACAAAAACAATGTCTCTCTCAGCTATAGTAGAAAGCTATAAAGTAGTATGAGAAGCATAAAATTGACGTCAAATTAACCAGATTTCTTCATCAGCATGGAGAATTAATTATATGAAAATAAAAATTTTACTTGTAAAAACAAAGGACATCACCAGCCCATATGAAGCCTTTGCTGAGTTACTTTCATGGGTAAGACAATGAACAAGGCTGTAGTAAACTAGGCTAGCAGTAGCACTTTTAACAAACTACATGAAAAAGATTGTGAACAATACCAGATCCATGAGAACAAACTGGGAACCATTTTTATAATTTAAAAATCTTTTAATTTTCACAAATTGCTTTTTTATTTATAATTGCTTTAGTCTAAATGGGACTAAAAATAAAAAGAGAATTTTAGCAATTTTCTTTGTGTTTACTGGATTATTTATTTATTTATTTATTTTTTTTTGCATTTCAAATTTGGAAGGCTTTTTGACTAAAACTTCCTAAGAGACAATAAAAATAAAAAAAATTGCACGAATATAAAAAAAAAAATCCACTGAAAATTTCATGTTAAAAAAGGTATTATTGTATAACATTACTAAACCAATTCATTCCTATTTAGTTGGGATCAATAGGATGAATTCCTTCTTATCAAACAATGTTGTAATTTATATTACAAAAGTAACTTTGCATTATTGTCTCAAAAAAGAAGCAAAAAACAATCAATACCTCCACCATTTTCCAACACATTCTTTTCCGGAAATGTCAACCCCTCTTCCCCCAAAAAAATCCTCTTCATCAAAGTCCACACAATTTCAATTTTTTTGCTTCCATTACCAAAGAAAACAGAAACAAAAAAATGTCTCTCTCTCTCTCAAACCTCGCAATCTCTTTTCCTGTGTCATCCCAAAAAACCAATACCAATTCCAACCTCTTATGTCTCATAACCCCCAAATTGTTGAACTCAATGGGTAGTTTTAATAACACAGATTGAACCAAAAAAACAAATCAAAAAAAACAAAAAAATAAACACTTTTATGATTGTGAACAAAAAATAATAATAAAAAAAGATAAAGAAACACTTTATGATTTTGAACCCCAAAAAAAATATAAAAAAACAAAAACTTTTCACATTATTAAAGTTGATCTTTCAATAGTTTTAACACTTTTCACAAGGAGTCAAACTTCTAGAAATATAGATCCACACTCACAAAATGCTCTCTCTCGTATGCAGAATTTTTTTTCTTTTTTTTCATATGCATATTCACTGCTCACTGTATTAGACTAGACAAACCAATCTATAAATATGCACATTCACTCCAACAGCCATGAACAAGTCTAAAGGTTCAAAAAAAAAAAAGTATAGAAGGCAAGCCCTTTTCTTCTTGTTCCTATCACAGGAAGCCATTGAACAGAGCTTCGGAGGTTGCGCCGGTGGTAGTGGAACAATGGGATTGAGGCGACAATAGACCGGCGGGGTGTGAGAGAGAAGGGTTTGAAGAAAGCCTCACACAGTATAGAGAGAAAAGAGAGTATAGAGATAGTCAACAGAACAAAACTCATTCAAAAGAAAAAAAAAAAAAACAGAACAGAACACCATGGGTGGGTCTCCTGTAGAGAGGAAAAGAGACACAAAACATAATAGAGACAAAGAGAGAAAGAGTCTGTGTGTTAGCTGTGTGTGACTGGTTTAACCGGTTTCTTTTTTGTTTTTTTTCAATGGTCCAGATTAAAGATTTCCATCTAAAGGCTAAAATTCATTTTTATGTATGGTACCCAAATACCACTTTTGGGTACCATAGTCGGACCCTTATGAAAAATATGGAAAAATTCTTTGCATATACCACCTACTCCTTTAGTTTTAGAGTCAAACTTACTTCACATGTTTTTGGTAATGTTTCAATTATGCAATCGTATTTTTTAATTAATTACACTAAGAACTCTTTTTAATTATTTGTGAATATTAATTTATTATTATTTATAAATTTGTATATTTTAATCTTTTTAATAATAACAATGTATTATTTTCACCTCTCTAGATCATAATCAAAAGAGGATGTATTTGTACACTTTTTATAATTGAGGGGATCAGTATCAATATAAATAGGAGTAAAATAATATTCATTAATAGTTGAAAGGGTTTTGGTGTAATTAATTCTATTTTTTAAGTAAAATATTTGAGATTCGTAAAATATATTCTTTTATTTGATTCACGACATAACATGTTATGCATTAATTTTTATTTTATTACAAATTCAATTATATAAGATTTAATTTGTTTGACATTTTATTGTGAGTGAATTTAAAATTTTAAAATACTCGATCTCTACTAATTCTGATTGTTTTATTCACTTAATAATCACACAAACAATATATGTTTGGTAATTAAATTACCTTATGACATTTTGTATGTCACATGTTTGGTTTGATTTTTTGAAACTATTTTGACAATTTTTTTTTTAAAAACAATAGAAACTAATTTAACAAAAATAAATATTAAATACATATTTTTAAATTTTTGTACTATCAAAGGGTAATTTTGGAAAACTAACTTTTTAAAAGTACAATAATTGTACTACCAAAAAAAATTGGATTCCCCAAAAGGGACCATTATTTTGGGACAGAGGAAGTATTGTTTTTTTAAAATTTTTTTTTTTTTTAAGGAAAAAAATTAAACTGGTTTTTTTTTTTTTTTTTTTTTTTTTTTTTTTTTTTGTTTTTGCATTCAATTTTTTTTTTTAAAAAGGGGTAAATTACATTGACACCACCTGAGGTTTATGTTTATTACAGTTCTCCCCTCACCTTCGGAAATTACATCTCCCTCCCTAAGGTTTAAAGTTTCATTACAGATTCCTCGCCTTAGCAATTTAATTTTTTTAAATACCAATTTTGCCCTCACTGGATAAATTACATTGACACCCCTCACATTTTAGAAATTACAATCCCCTACCTAAGGTTTAAAGTAGCATTACCAATTGTCCTCTGGGTTAGTATTAGTTAGAGAAAAAAATTCATTGAAAAAAAAAATTAGTTGAAAAACAATTTTGTTAGTGAAAATTTTAAATTTCTATTTAAAAACCAACCTAAACTCATTTTTTGAATTTACGTTTTTTCCTCAAATTTACAAACTAAGACAACAATTTATGAACTAAAAAAATTATCAAACAAGTTTTTATGAGATTTTTTAAAATTTTTGTAAACATAAGTTGAAAACTGAAAACGAAATGGTTACCAAACAGGTTTTAGATGGTAAAAATGTCATAAAATTAACAAATAATTAAATAAGTTACCAATGTAAAAAATGACTTACTAAAAGATTCTTAGGCTATGTATGATTTGTTTTTTAGAATTTTTTTTAAGAATTAAAAATTAATTTGATTAAGAAATAAAAAATAAAAAATAATTATCATTTTTATATAATTTTTATTTTTCGAGTGGCTAGAAATAATTTTTTACAAATTAAATTGAAATAGTCATACGTATGTATATAACCTGCTCAAAAGTAAAAATGATAATTATTTTTTACCCTTAAATAATAATTATTTTTTTTATTTCTTAACCAAATTAATTTTTAATTTTTTTAAAAAATTTCTAAAAATCAAATCATACATAGCCTAAGAATCTTTTGATAAGTCATTTCTTACATTGGTAACTTATTTAATTATTTGTTAATTTTATGATATTTTTACTATCTGAGACTTGTTTGTTAACTATTTTGTTTTTAGTTTTCAATTTATATTTATAAAAATTTAAAAAACTGTCATAAAAATTTGTTTAATAATTTTTTTGGTTTATAAATTGTTGTCTCAGTTTGTAAATTTGAACAAAAAACCTAAATTCAAAAAATGAGTTTATGTTAGTTTTTAAACAAAAATTTAAAAATTTTACTAACAAATTTTTTTTTCAATTAATTTTTTTTTTCAACTAATACTAATCGATGAGACAATTAGTAATGCTACTTTAAACCTTAGGGAGGAGATTGTAATTTTTAAAATGTGAGGGGTGTCAATGTAATTTAGCCAGTGAGGGCAAAATTGATATTTAAAAAAATTAAATTATTGAGGGAAAAGCTGTAATGAAATTTTAAACTTCAAGGAGAGATGTAATTTTAAAAAAGTAAGAAAAAATTATAACAAATATAAAATTTAAAGGGTGTCAGTATAATTTACCCAAAAAAAAAAAAAAAAACCTTTTGCCCTTTTTAACTAATCGTAAATAAGGAATTTTTTTAGCCAACAAGTTGACATATTTAGCCCATCCAATCACCCTCCGATGACATGTGTGGAGTTGACTTTTTTTGAATTTTTAAAAAATAAAAGTAATTTAAACTTAAAAACACAACCGATAATGATTTAAATAAAAATTCAAACTAAAACGTAATTATCATCGTAATAATATATTATTACAAGATTATTGTAAGAATAAATATATCATCAAAGACAATTTTATTCCGACAAATAAAGAGACAAAACACGGACATCCAATCCAACCCGAATCGAACCCGATTCCAATTTCCCTCTCCAACTCCTCTCATAAAATGGGTGTCGAGTTGCCCAACATGATTCAACCCGACCCATATTTTTTTTTAATATACCCGTCTATGTTATGCATTACAATTACACATTCACATCCAACCCAGACTTCAGAGACAGACAGACACAGGGAGGGAGAGGGAGAGGGAGAGGGAGAGAGAGGGAGGCCAGAGCGACTAGTGAAGAGAACTCTTTCGACTGCAAATCCATCTGGTACTCGAAGATCAAACCAAAATCGCGACAATTTTCTCTCTTACCAAACAGTTTTTCTTGTGCTTCTTAGGTTGTCCAGGTATGTTCTTTCTCAGTTTCTTTCACTCTTGAAACCATTTTCTCTTCCTCTCATATTCTTCTACAAATAAGGATTTTAATTGAATCTTATAATCTTTCAACATTTTAAATTTAGTAAAATGTTTACCCTCTTTGTGTATGTGTGTGTAGATACTATAACAGACAAGATTAGTCTTGGAATTATGATCTGAATGTTTGTTTCAATTGATTTGTTGCTGTTACTTAACTGTTACTGAAGATGGGATTTGGGTTTATTTAATTTTGGTTCAAGTTTTGTGGGGTTGTGGAATTTGGATTTGACTAACTACTTGGCTATAATTGCTTAAGGGGGTTCTAGGGTTTTTAATTACATTTGTGGGATTTGATGTTTCTCACTATGGTTTCCATGGATTCATTGCTTTACCCTTTGTTTTAATGCTTGTGCTGTTTATTTTTTTATTTTTTTTTATTTTTTGGGGTGTCTCGTTCATGGAAGAAAATTGGGGGCTTTGACTAAGGATCGGTTTCTAAAATTTAGGGGCTTTACCTTTCTAAAATTCAGAACTTGTTTTCTGAATTTGTTTTGAAAAATTAGAATATAGTTTGGCAAAAATTAACATCAAAAGAGATCTTTTTTAATTTTTAAAAGTTATTTCCTGAGAAAACTATATAAAAAGACTGAGAGTTTACATTTTTTTTTTCTTTCACCAAACTAGTTTCTGAAAAAAAAAATTGGAAACTAGATCCGAAAATTTAGGAATATCTAACTGTGAAAAGGAGTCCTTGGGGTGGGTTTCTTTCCATCACTGAGAGTTTCAGCTTTTGGGCCTGGAGTTCTTGATTTCAAACTTCAATTAAACTGCATCGGATTTGAGAGGAGTTGAGCTGCAGTAGAATTGACCATTGTGTGAATTTATTTTATTTAACTTTACAGATGCTTAAAATCAGGTTTCATGATTTTATTATGATTGTTTCTCCCCTTTAATCTGAATCTCTTATAGTTCATTTGTACCTATTTGACTTCCATGCACGGTAGCAATACAATCAACTTGTTCAACATCGTCGAAACTTAAGACGGTGAACAGCGTTGTTTCAGATTGATGATTTGATTGCTTTGAGCTTTTACTCGTGGCTTCAAGAAAGATAAAGATTGGACAATTCCTGGAAAACCACCATGGTCAAGCAATCTCCTAGTAGAAACCACAGGTCCAAAGGTGTCAAGGCTAAGCAGGTTCTGCAAATTTGTGTGCTGCTTGCTGTTTGCTTTTGGTTGGTGTACCAAGTTAAGCGTTCCCATGATAAGAAGAAAGCATTTGATGAAAGTGATGCAAAGATCTCAGTTAAAACGCATGTTGATGATGAAATTTTGAAATTCGGACGAAAAGGTCTCCTTCCTCGATTGGATGAAACTACCATGAAAAATGAGAAGCATGATGAAGTAGAAGCAGAAGAGGAAGAAACTGGAGGAGGAGAAGAAGAAGAAGAAGAAGACAAGCAGCATGAAGAGGAAGAGGTAGAAGAAGACAAGCATGAAGAGGAAGAGGTAGTTGAAGACGACAAGCATGAAGAGGAAGAACCAGAAGACAACACCACCGAAGAGAAAGAAGATGAAGGGAGAGGAGGTGGGGATGATGAGATAGACGAGCATGATCAAGAGAAATCTGAGGTGGAGGTTGAGCGTGAGGAGGATCTCATCGATGAAGAGAAGGACAGAGAAGAAGGTGATGAAAAAGAAGCTGAAGAAAAAGAAGGTCAAAGTGAGAATGAGAGTTCTTTGGAGGACCATGATCATGATGGAGGTAGTCGGAATGCTCATGAGGCACGAGAGGAAAATTATAGGGCCGATGATGCTTCCAGTGCAGTAACTCATGAGACTGAAGCTATTGGCACTGAAAATGAAGAGGTAAATGAAGTGAATCACACTGAGGAAATCACTGTCGATCAGAACACTACAGGTTTAGAAACTGGGAAAGAAGAAAAGGGTTATGATATTGTTACATCCAAATCAGAGGACAACTCTGTTTTGAATTCTACAATGACAACAGAGTCCAACAATCAACCTGAACTAGGCAATGTCTCGACAAAAGGGAATTCAGAAACTAATAATTTATCCATGCAGGGTGGAATAGAAACCAAACCGGATTCAATTGAAGCTCAAAATGCTACAGTAGGAGATGCTTCTCTGGGAAAAGAAAGTAATTCTGACGCAGCTTCCAATAACAATCAATCTGACTCTAATTCAATGACTTTCAGTAATACTGAAAACACAGAGGAAAATACCGATGCTACACTGAATGAGAAGTCAGACACCGATAATGGAACAGATGAAAGCTCAGACGAATCAGCCAAAACTGAGAATGCAGATGAAGATCAGCAAGATCCTATTGATTCTTCTGATTCTTCCATCTCCTTGGAGAAGGATGTTCGCAACGATCTTGATACTTTGCCTGAAATTATAACTGAAGGAAGCAACAGTGAAGATGCTGCAGCAGAATAGTAGTTTTGTTTAGTTGTGAAATTTTGATTTTCCTGGTTTGTTCCATCCTTTAGAACTATGTTTGGTTCTAGAGTGCTCTGCTTGATTGTGTATTGATTGATGTCTTAGAGAATACGATTTCAACTTCGCACAAAGTGTAGGCAAGTTGATAATGTTGATGGTTTAATTCTGTGATTGATGTCAATTTATTTATTTTCTTTTTTCTTTGGGCAAATTGTACTTGCAGTTCTTGTAATTTATCTCTTCTATCAGATTAATTGATAAAGTTTTAATTGTATCAATTTTGTCATGAGTCCCAATTTTTAATTTTTCTTTTATTACAATTATACTATGAAATAAAATTATATTAAAAGACATCATTTAATGGAACATTCACTTACTAAATAATAATTAGCACTATACAATATTGTACATCAACCTTCAGTCTCACTCCCAGTTGTAAGTATTCCACCTTTCTAAATGCAAAACATGTTACTTTTCATAACCAACTAGAGTAAATCCTAAACCTATTACTCTTCATAACCATCTTAAACCCTGAATGTATCATCTTCATCAACATCATAAATCCTCTTGAACCAAAAAGCTCTTTTCAAGTCCAACATTTTTCTCTTCATGAGTTATTTCACATTGTAGAGCAATGGAAGACGATGACAACAATTCTGATGAGGCTGATGTTCCATTCGTAAGTTTATCTATCTTACATTAATATTCTCAGTCATTTTTAATCGTTTTTGTTTTGTTCGAGTTGTTCGGTACTTGTTTGCCGACTGTTAAGATTATGTTCGATAACACAGTACTTACATAAACATTTAGTTCAATATATAGATTCCGAATAGTAATATAGATAGTCGGTACTGTTGAACCGAACATGACCTTTATTTTCGGCACTAGTGTGCTGAACGATTCGATTTTTGTATCTTCAACACTAGATTGTGTTTTCGTGAGGGTTTTTTCATCTAAAATCCCCTTTTACACTGAAATAAACCAAAAAATAAAAAAGTGACAAAAAGAAGAGAGGCAATACTGTTGATAAGATAAGGAGTCGATATTTACCTAAGAGAAATTTTCGACGAGTTTTCTGTAATGGTGGACAAAAATTTTCAACAAGTTTTTCGACGGTTTTTTTTGGACACCGTTTAATTGTTTCCTCCTTTCGTTGAGAGTTGACAAGAATTTCAATGATGTGTCAACAGGACATGGACGGTCACCAAAAGGAGAAGGATAGAGGGTGTGCAAAATTAAGTGAGTGTGCATTGGATGTGATAATATTATGAATAAGGGTAAATTTGGCATCAAGTGGAGTGTTAAAAGAAATCTAATTGAAATTTAAGATTTAGGGTGAGGGCTCAAAGAAATGGGAGGTCAAAAGAATTTAGATAGATGCTAATAACAGTCCTCTTGTCATTTGATTGGGCATGGATGAAATCGCTTTGTGTTTGGAAAGTTTGCTTATTGGCTAAAAAATGTAACTTTTTTGTCATTTTTTTTTTGTTATTTAAATTATGTCAAAAATTTTTAGTTTTTCCATCTATTTTATATAGATGAATCAAAAAAGTTTAAAAATTTTAAAAATCCAAAACAAATTTACTATTTTTTGCCTATGTTTTGAACTTTTTTTTAAAAAATTTCATGTTTGTCTGGGCAAGCTAAATCTATAAGTCTAATGTTTTTTTAATTTTAAAAAAAAAATTCATTAAAAACAAAAATAAGTTTAGAAAAATCACAAAATAAACAAACCTTATATTTTTTATGACATGTTTGATAATTTACATAACAAAAACATTATGTGATAATTTATTTAATCAAACATGGAAATTGAATATAAATCAAGGGGAAAATGTCAATCAAGAGACTCTTATTGACCTTCAAAATTTTGGGTAGGCACCTCACATATAAAAAAAGATTTAAACCATGCAATGAGAACCTTACATTACTGTACGAGCAAGAAATATTCTTCTCGTATAATCCTGTTGATCAAGTCTGCGCTCCCCCGTACATCGTCGCTTTACTCCCTGAAAACACAAACGTGAGCTAGCCGGCGGGTGTGTGCCGGATACGTCTCCGATGCCTAAGTCAGCAAAACAGATAAATAGACAAAAAGCTCTGTGTCTTCGGGAATCAAAGTTGTGTTACCTCTCCAAAGGTGATGTTGTGAGCTTTTATAGGTTCCGCGTGGCACAATCCTAGCAAGACTCTTACTTCTCCATGTAGAGTCCTCCTAGGAGTTATATTCCTGAAAGATAATGCTTATCCTTCAACACCCCCCTCACTGCTTAAACCAAGTGAGATGGTTTTACCACGGTTGGATGTTAATACGACCGAGATAACATGGCCATGCTAAAGCCGCAGACTAGACCGAGCACCATCTAGCTCGGCTCTTCCTTTTATTGCGTGTACCTCGGTTTGACATATTCCAACTGGGCTGTTGAGATCGTGCTAACCACTCCGAGCTTGGACCGAACTAACCTATAGCACGGTTCTGAGGAAAACTCAACATACTTCGGCTTAATATGGTACAACCGAGCTAACTGCTCCTACTCTGACCGTGGTGACCGAGCTAACTACAAGGCTCTTTCTGTATCGGGCTAGCTTCTAGGCCCTTTTTACTCGACCTCTCTTATTATGGCCCACAGATCGGCCCATTTACCCAGCTCGGCCCAATTTACTTATAAATTACCCTCTCAATTGCCCCTTAATTCCATCTGCGCAGCATGATAGGGATTACCTGTTACCAGCCAAGCTAAAAGCTTTAGCTTTTCAACCGAGCTAAAAACCTTAGCCTTCCAACTGAGCTAGAAACTTTAGTTTTCCAACTAAGCTAAATTCACACCGGGCTTCATCTGTCCGGTCAAAACGTCTCTTCAGTTGCTGTAACTGAATCGATTTCTATTCCATGGACACGTGGCAAACTCTCATTGGCCACGTATAGCTGTCACGCTGTCTTCGTACCTCGCGTTTTTTGAACAGTCTCGTCATTTCTTTCTCTCTTTTCACAAAACCAAACCCTTTGTTTTTGAATCATTTCACTTGCACTATTCACCTTCTCCTCACTCTCTTCTCTGAGCTTTCACTTTTCTCAAACACAGTGCCTGCAAAACTTGCGCTCTTGCTGCCATCACTCCCTTCTTCAGTTCCTCCATCTTGAGCTAGTAAGTGGTTCGAATCTGTTTCCTTTTCATTTATTTCGCACTGTTTTTGCAATACATAGTTTAGTATTCATATGTTTTTCAAAATACATCCCATGTTTGCTTCCATTTTTCTGGGAAAAACCATGTAATAGAACCACTTGTATTTCACGAATAATCTATGAAACACTGTATTTGATCCAAAATCACACCCCAACCGAACTAGGATACTGTTTTTATTAGGTGTAAGCCTAGCCACACCTAACAATCGAGCCTAAACTTCATGCCATACTTATAGTTTCCATAAGTTAGGGACCTTTTGTTTCTTCTAACCGAGCTATCGAACTGTACTAGGTTTGCACAATACCATGCTAGAAAGCCTCAACCACCGACCGAGCTAAAATTTGGGGCTAAACCAGCTCCCTTAGTTCAAACCGAACTAAGAATGCTGCCTCCAAAGGCTTGATCGGGCTAAAGCCCCTTGCTCAAACCGGGCTAAGACTGGATAGCACCCCTCGTAGCCGACCTAGGACTTCATTTATCTTCCCTATGTTTCTTGTAGCGCGGTCCACGATCTATACTTAACACCTTTCTTTTTCACTTTGCAGACTTAGGTTGGCCAGGCACTCACTTGAACGCTCAACTGAGCTACTCAGCGTCATTTTCCGACCGAGCTAATACTAAAGCTAATTTATTCATAATTTAACAAAAAATGGGTAAATATAGGTTTTTAGTAAACTCACCAGGGGCCATGGCCGAGTTCCGAAGGGACTACCATATCCTTGATGATGTCCATCTTACTTTAGCCGAGCTAGATGTCACACCTTGGGGAAACCCTGGTTTCGTTCCTTTCACCCTTCTTTCTATTGTAGAAACCGGCCTACGATTCCCCGTACAGCCCCTTCTCTGTGAATTCCTTAGACAAACCAACCTTTGCCCTACCCAGCTTTCAACAAATTCATACCGCATAATAAATGGCATTGCCGAACTAAACTGCTAGGCTGGCCTTAATCTCGGTTTAGCCGAGCTTTTTCACCAATATTCTATAGGCTCAAATGAAGATGGCTGGGTTTATTATTTAAGAATAAGACGCCGTCGTGAAAAGATAATAAAAAATACCTCGGATAAAGATGTGAATGATGATGATTTCTTCTGGGTATCTGGGAATTTTAAGGACCAACAAGCCCAGATCCCAAGCGACAGAATAAATTGGAATAAATGAGTCGCCAGTATAACTACCTTGGCTAGGTTTTCTGCTCTCTTTTACCTCGGTTTTCTTACGTTGAACCGCACTGACTGTTGTCTTGTCTTCTTCATGCAGACTTGAACTTTCTCAAGTCCCAGTACAGCTACTCCAACTTAAACACACTTCGTGCTGCACTACGATATCCTAATAGAAGTTGGGCCGAACTATTGAATGTTGAACCGACATACAGATACAACAGCCGTAGGAAAACCAGGGTGATCAATTTCCTCCTTGAGCCTTCACCAGAGCCAGACCCAGACCCAGAACCAACCTTACCTCAAGTCAATTTGATCCCGTTGACAGCGGAGTAAGAGATGGCCAAGAAAAGAACAGTAAGGGCCCTTCTGACCGAAACAAACCCGGCCGAGGTACCACCGGCCGCGCAGACCCAAGAGGCCGTGGTAGCCCTGCCAACTCAATAGCCTTCATCTTCTCGTGCAAGCAAGCGTGCTCGGACTTCCACAACCGAGCCACGCTTGGTTGACGAGGATGAGACCGTGGTTCCTCAAACCACCCTACCAAGCCCTCCACCTGAGCGCTCAGACTGAGCTAGCTCTTCGAAGTGGGCACCAAAGATCACGTTTCAGAGCCGAGCTATCAAGGATTCTGACTCAGTGGTCTCAGAAAAAGACCACTTGATGGCATTCAACCTTGCCAAAAGTGTTTGCCTTCCAGCCGACATGGAGCACCGCGACCACCTAACCGAGCTGAAGGCCATTCGCTCAGCCACAAAGTCAATGGTGCTTGTAAGTAGCTCCTTTGCTTATCTTTCAAATTTTTACAACTTTCTGCTCGGTTTTACTCAAAAGTTTCTTACCATCCTTTTGCAGACCATACAGAAAAACCACATCGCTCACAAGCGAGTGTTGGAACTACGAAAGACCACCAAGTAGGCCATGGCCAAGG